CCCCCCCCCCCTCTTCAAACACCTAATTAATGTCCCTTTTACGTCATATTATGATGTCATGTTGACCTTATTATTGTCGTAGCTCATTGAATTCTGTGGCATTCACAGCGCCCGTTTACGCAGATTTCAAATTATTTTTGAACAAACAGACATTTCCTCTCCCCAAGAAAATTGGATCGTAAAGTTTTAGTATCCGTTTCCGATCTGTGTTGTGGAGGGCCATAAGACTTGGCGTCTCTTTTGAAACACAAGAAGCAAAGAGCCTTCATTACTGCATGTTGCGCTGTCATCTGGTTGATTAGCCCCCTCATGCTTTTTTGCTCGTTTGTTTGTTTGGTTGGTTGATTGGCTAGTTGGTTGGTCGGTTGATTGGTTTGATTGGTTGGTTGATTGGCTGGCTGGTTGCTTTGTTGATTGGTTGGTTGGTTGGTTGGCTGATGGCTTGTTGTTGTTTTTTTGGTTTGTTTTTGTTTGGTTGAGTGGTTGGTTGGATGGGGGGTTGTTATGTTGTTTGGTTGGCTGGTTGGTTGATTGGTTGGTTGGTTGGTTGTTTATTTGGTTGTGAGTTCAGAGTGAACAGAAGAATATCTAAACAAACAGTGGCATATAATGCTTCTTTTGCTTCTTTACAGTAAAACTGGCGAAATGTAGGCGTTAATGTTTTATCTTGTCGGGAACTACAACACAGCAACTGCACTGATGCAGTAACTCGCGTTGATCGCGATAGACAGGGTCAAAGCAGCCTTCTTTCTAAAGTATATAAAGTATGCCAATAGGGGTGTAAAATGTTTACAGAAAGTTTTAATTCATCAATCTCCTCCGTGTTGATCACCATGTCCACTAAAAAAAATTACCCTCTAAACCCTTTAGTGTAGGCCTAGGCTTTCCAAAGCTCTTACGAAAACGAAAATTGCTTATTTGATAACTTTTCAAAAGAATGACTGAGACCCGAAAACGAGTTTTTGGATGGTGTTTGTGGTAGGTCCTACTTCTTTAGTTTTAGTAAGTTATATAATGTTATATAAGTGCTGATAGGGTGCGGTGGGGGAGCGGTTAGTGCGCTCGTCTCCGAAGCTAAACGTCTGGGTTCGAGCCTCGGTTCGGACACGGATTTTTTCGCTCCCTCCTGCCCACCCAGCAGTAATAGGTTCCTGACTTCGAGTTGAGGAAGTAAAAGCGGCGTGGAAAGGAACTGGCCACCCTACAACAATATGCTGAAGGCCCAGGAAGTTGTCTCACTAACAAGGCAATCCCTAATGTCCGGATCAGATGCGGGAACAACTTTTCTTTATAAGTGCCGAAGTCACTTCTTTACTCCCTCTTTGTTTTTCTGTCAAATAAGTTTTGCTTTTTTCGCAGGAACAACGAGGCCGTTTTTCTGTCAATGTCTTTCACTTGACTCCATCAAACAAACCACAAAACCTCAGGATTGGCGCTCAGATTATGACCTTATGTATTTGCCAGCGCCGTAAAACATTACTACAAAGAAAATTTAATAATTTCGTGATGACGTCATCTATTGGTCTGTCCGCAGCTTATGCAATGTACCAGACCTGTTTCCGGTCCACTGGCTACAGCTCCGAGCGGTGTTTCCAGGTACACATGAACGAGAGTAACCAGCACATCAAGTTCCTCTCCAACGTCAACACCAAGAGGAAAGACAAGTTTTGTTCGTGAGTACTACATTAAAACTATTTCTGTTTATACCCCCTCCCCTTTCCCCCCACCTCCTTTCTCTCTCTCCGTCTCAATCTCCTTTTCTGTCTGTCTGTCTGTCTGTCTGTCTGTCTGTCTGTCTGTCTGTCTGTCTGTCT